TGGTAGGGTGGAGGGTCCACGAAAGATGGGGAGGCCTTCAAGGAGATGGATTGATACAGTGGCTGTGATGATGGGATCAAGTACAGCAGGGATTGTGGGGCTGGCACGGGATCGGGCAGTGTTTTGTTCTGCTGTGCATGGGGTGGCTATGAGTCGGAAACGACTCAACGGCACTTAACAACAACAACAACAACAAGTTATAGATTATGAATTAATACATACAGTGTGCCCAACATAATTCACAACTCAATAAATAGTAGCTTTTATAATTTTCTGACTTTCATATCATCAATTACTTGACAATGCATCATAACAATAAAGAGCATGGTCAGTGAAATAAATCTGATTCTAGTTCCTGGCTCTTCAATGTGTCTGCTTTGGTACCTTCCTGTTTCTCTCAGTTTCTTACCTGTAAAATGGGACAATAGAAGTGCTGGTCTCCAAAAGGCCAGCATTTGCCCAGGGATAAGGCAGGAAGGGATAGGAAAGAAATATGAATGGATATGGGCAATACAGGCAGGATGTGAGAAGAGTGCTGTTTGCATTCTGGGAGTGACTATCACAAATCAAAATGTGTATGACTTGTTGAATGGAAGACGAATTTGCTCTTTAAATATAGCCCAAATCATAATGAAAAGTTTTTTTAAAAGAGAGATGATTTATCTATATTTGTTATAGACATTATTGCTTAATATCAATAATTTGTAATATATCTCATTTTTATTAAAAAGAAAGCTTATGCTTCCATTTACATGGTTTATGCTAGTAAAGCTAAGTCTACATTTGGTAAAAATTTCAAGTATGCAAACAATGTTCCTAGGTTAAGTTTCTTTTCTTTTGTTGAAGATTTTTCATCTGCTAAATGCAAAACCTATGAATTGTAAAGTAATTTTTTTCTATATCCCATAAGTATTTCTTTCTGAGATACTTATGAATGTTCTTTTTATCCTTTACTCAATCGAATAATTCTTAGACTCATGAGATATTTATTTGTCACCTGAAATAACTTTCCTACTGAGCAACTTCCTAAGAGCGTTATTCATCTGGGCATTTCTCAAGGTATAGATTAAAGGATTTAACATGGGAGTTATGATGGTGTAGAATACAGCAACTGCTTTGTCAACAGGTAAAGTGACTGCTGGTCTCATGTGCACAAATATTGAGGGCACAAAGAATAAGACGACCACTGTGATGTGGGAAACACAAGTTTCCAGGGCCTTACGCCGCCCATCTAAGCTGTGGGCCCTTAAAGAGTACAAGATGACCACATAGGAGACCAGCAAAAGGAGAAAGTTTAACACACACATGAACCCACTGTTGGCAGCAACAAAGAACCCTAGAATGTGGGTATCAGTGCAGGCAAGTTTGAGCAAAGGGGTCAGATCACACATAAAGTGATCTATGACATTAGGGCCACAGAAGGGTAATCGAAACAAGAAAAGGATCTGTATAGTTGCATGGAGAAAGCCTCCAGCCCAGGAGACTCCAATTAGCAGACCACATAGTCTCCAGTTCATGATGGTTGTGTAGTGCAAGGGCTTGCAGATGGCCACATAACGGTCATAAGCCATCACAGTAAGAAGGATGACCTCAGCACCTGAAAAGAAATGTTCTCCAAAGACTTGAGTCATACATTCATTGAATAGGATGGTCTTTCTTTTATGGAGTGCATCTACAATCAGTTTAGGGGTATTCACAGAGGAATAGCAAGCATCAATAAAGGAGAGATAGGCCAGGAAAAAGTACATGGGGGATCCCACCAATGGGCTGGTGGTGATGGTGACCACAATGAGTATATTTCCTACCACAGTGAGGATGTAGATGACCAAAAACACAGCAAATATGACTTTTTGCATCTTTGGGTTTCCTGTGATCCCCAGTAGAACAAATTCTGTCACGTTGTTCTTGTTCTCCATGTATTTCGTGTGACTGTTAGTTACATTATCTACAAAGGAAACAATTTTATTAATACAACCTTGAATTTATTAAGATTTTTCATTCTAACAAACAATAAATATCTTGATTCTATTGATTTATAAAATTTTGAGGTTTTTGAGAGGTAAGTACATGTTTGGAGATGTGTTTCTTTCATTGTGATAAATATATCTGTAAATCTTTATCAGTTCAACATTCTTCACAAATATAATTCAGTGGCATTAATTTATGTCTGTTATGTTGCTCAACCAACTCCATATTCCATTTTCAATTTTTTCTATCACCCTTAACAGAAGTTCAGTGTCTCTTAACCATTGAGTATTCCTGTCTTTACCCTTTATGTGTCCCTAAGAGCCACAAACAGAATTTGGTCTCTACACCCTTGTCTATTTTAGATATTTAATATCAATGGGCTTAATTTTTGTCCTTTGGTGGTTGCTTTATTTTATTTAGCATATTTCTTCACTGTTTACTCTTGATATATAACCTGTATCAGAATTGGATTCTTCTCATGGCTCAGTGATACCCTGTTTTCTGTATGTACCACATTTTATTTGTACACACCTCTGCTGATGGGCATCTAGACTCTTTCTCTGCCTTTTGCCTTTCATTAATTGCTCTGTAATGAACTTGGTGTACAAGAATCAATGGTGTTTCTGATTTCTTTTTTTCTTGGATACATACCTAGGAGTTGTGTGTTTTGGAAGATTACTCAACTTGTTGTCCATGTGAAGATTTTGTTAAGAATGTAGACATGAAAGAGTTATTCACATACAAAGGGTAGGAGATCATCTCTGCACACTTTGAATTAGTGAACAGTACACACAGTAGCCAACTAGCCAGGATGTAAAGTTATCTTTTCCTTTTTTCTTTTGGAAATAGAGAACTGTTTTTGTGAATATGAGCAGAAGGATGCAGAATAATTTGAGGAAAGAAGAATCCTGGGATATTACTCTAGTAAAGGCTTTTGTTTGTCTTGGGAAGTTCACTAAGGTCATGGAAGTTAGAGGCTAGAACACCAATTTGCTGACTATTTATGGAAATTGAGACAGGAGTACTGGGCAGTGATAATGGGAATACAAAGAAAGGATACAAGAACCGCTGGAAAAGAACTCACAATGTTTATTGTCTAAATCCAATGTCCTTTATACTATGTAATAATCTATACATCTTGTTGAGTTGTTGCTGTGTGCATTGGGAGATATCAGGAGCTTTGCACAAGTGATTCCATGTGATCCTTATAAGAACTTCAGAGCTATTATTTACCCATTTTGCACATGAGGAGATAATCTCGGAGACTAGTATAATAACAACAATAATAGTACCTAATGTTACTGAGGACTTGGTATATTCTCATTGTTTTGCTGGCATGTGCTATTTAATTCTTATTACACACCTAGAAGACTGTTATTGCTACTATTTTTATACTTATTTGAAACATTAGGAGATGGAAAATCACAGAAGTTAAGAATTCTTTCTCAAGTCAAATGGCTAATGAAAGGCAGAGGCCAGTATATGTAAAGTAATTTAATCAGTAGCATATTTAGATATAAATAGATGAAGAAACAGCATCTTGGAATTTCCAATTAAGATAAACAAGGTGATTTTTTTCTTTCACTGAAGGGCCCCTTAATCTTGGATTTCCTCAGCTCCTGCTGTTGTGGGTGGTCAAGTCTGCTCTGACACACAGCGACCCTCTAGGAGAGAGTGGAAGTGCCACAAAGGGTTTCCAAGGTTCTGATCTTTACTGGAACTGCTTGTCAGGTCTTTTCTCCCACTAAGTGGTTTGTGAGTTCAAACCTTTTGCCTTGTAGCTGAGAAGTTAACCATTGTTTCAGCAGGCTAGTTTAGTCTCTGCTTTCCGTCTCATCTCTGGCCGAAGCAAGGCACCCAACTCTCCTGCAAAAATGCTTTTTTAGAGGCAGAAATACCAGATCTAGAGTTTTTCATTTGCAACTCTGTTTATCTGGGGTACATTTCTTGGCAACTTACATCTTTATTCACTTTTCTGTAAAGAGAATAATAATGTCCACCTCTCTGGTTTTTGTGAGACTTGTGAAGACATCCAGCACAGTGCTGGGGACACACACAGCACTTTGTTTATTCCAGTTTAATGACTGTATGTACACATAGGATATAGGAAGTATTGACACTTAGAGCAATAATACAGATAAATATTTAAACATGCAATGAATACAAGAAGGGTCATCTCCAATTACCTCTGAAGAGGCCAGAAAGAGTCACATTAAAATTTGATCCTAGAAAAGGTCTGCATGTTTGTGTTTGCATTCATATCTATGACTTTTGTGTGTAATGTGTATTTAAAACATATTTTCACCTAGATTTGTTTTGATTATTGAATGAAGTTGTCTCTTGGCAAAAGCATGGTACTTGATGTGAAAGAGCTAGGTTGTAATCCTACAAATTGTTTGCCGTCTGTGAGCACCAACTCCACCTTTTGAATGAAGTTAATTATAATTACTCAAAAATTTTGAAAGCTAAGAGCAAAGGAGAAATCTTCTATTTATATTTGGAAAGTTTTGAAAAAAACTGTAATTTATCTATATGAATAGTAATGATTTTAAATAAGAGCCAACACTATGAAAGACTTACCTTAGTGGTCTTTAGAGATCTCAGTGATGTTTGGGGTGTTCAGTAACAATTCCATGCTCAAATTGATTGCCTCTTGAAACAAGTATCTTATTATAGGAAATATGTGACATCCTTGGCAAGAGACTATTCAGAAAGTCATATCAAAGCAAAGGTTTATAAATTGATGTAATGAGTCTAAATCTTTCCTTTTAGACTAAAAACTCAAAATACTTTCCCAGAAAATCTGGGATCTGAATTTAGAATGGATTCACTTGAAACACTGAAGAGCACTGACCTTCTATACGTGGCTGTGGGGTGGCAGTGTGAGTGACAGAATGCGGAGGAAACACATTTAGATAAGTCACTCCACCCGTGGTGAATCTTGCTCTGGAAGTGTGAACAACAACAAAATAATTTACATCATGTGCTGCATAGATATTTAAAGTTTCCATAAAGGTCCAGGGACCTTGTCCTCCTCTCCCAGGAATATATTATCTTTGAGTGAGAAAGATTATGAAAAGACAGTCTGTTCTTGAATACAAACTTATATTTCATAGGTAGCTCCTAATCATGTGAGAGCTCCCTTTCTCTGCCTAAACCTTGGCTGTCAAGGAAGCTGAATGCCATGTGAACAGCAAGGTGGCATGATTCTTGTGTGTAGACTGTGATGTTCTTTCTTTGTTAACTCATGTCACATTGGGGGCTTCTGTTTTCTTACCAATATTAAACTGTTCATGGAATTCTGTAATTAATTGTTTGAGAGCTAGAGCAGTAAAGCATAAAATTAATTAATATTTATTAATCGATATTTTCTAGTACTTGTCTCCAAAACTTGTTTATCACATATCAGAGAGGTCTTCGGAAGTAACCAGCATCCGCAGAAGATGCCAAATTACTGTATCCTTGGAGATTCCTGAGCTGGCCAGAAAGCTATACCACATATCCTTGCTATATAGTCAATGCTGACTCAGTGACTCTAAAGGACAGAGTAGAAGTGTCTCATAGGGTATCCAAGGCTGTAGATATTTACGGAAGCAGGCTGCCACATCTTTCTCTTCCTGAACTGTTGGTGGACTGTAGTCAGTGACTTTTCCGGTAGCAGCCTACCCTGCAAGCACTGCATCCCCAGGGCTCCTTGGCCAGAAAGCCAGGCAGTATTAAAAATGGAGAAAAAGATCTAAAACACAAGAAGAATGGTCTGGTTGTTCCACATCTTTGTCATTTGGTATTTTTAGTTGTTTTTCTTTTAATTATTTTAAAGGGCATGTGTTGCTATTTCTGGGGGCTGTAGAGTCAATTCCTATTCACAGTGAGCCAAATGGCAGAGCATAATTACCCCATAGGGCATTCTAGGCTGTAGTCTTTACAGGAGGAGCCCTGGTATGGCCAGAAAGGTATTGCTTTATTGGACGATATCTGCTTTTTAAAAACCCTTTACCAAGATGATCACTGAGTATCCCACAGAACTAATGAGTGTGCTCAAACCTCCAGCCTTTCAGTTAGTAACCAAACACATAACCATCGTGCTCTGGGGGCTTCTTCACGGATGGACGTATGCGGTGGTAAATTATTCTATTTTATTTTATTTTCTGATGTGCTGGTGGTGCATCTGGGTGGCAGTGATCTAGGGGTGATGGAGTTGTTGGATATTGTAACACGAATTATGAAAGATTTAAGATTTATTAAGCAAATGTTCAAGAACATTAGAATAGTGTGGTCCAACATAATACCCAGAAAAATGTAGTACAGCTCTTAAAAAACACATTTTATGAATAAGTGTATGAAGAAATTGACTCCTTTTTTTTTTTTTTCTTTGCAATATTTATTTATTTTGTTAATGGTGATTTGGGTGAAGATTTACAGAGCAAATTCACTTTCCATACAGCAGTTTACATATACTTTGTCTCATGACATTGACCACAGTTTACCACAATGCAACAGCTCCCCTCTCTCTTCTTCCCCATAGTTACCTCTTCCCAGTGTCCATCCCT